GCTTTCATGGCTAAACTTTGTCCCAATAGGCAGTTCAATAAAAGCTATGCAGGTTTAAATGATATTTACATTTTTAATTAGAACTGGCTGAACTGTATAAGCAATACCAACGGAAAAGGGAGAAAGAAAGACAAAAACAAACTTAGAGAAAACTAAAAAAATCAAAATCAGAGCTCTGAAACCAGAAAATAGAATTATGGCCATATGCAGAACAAACAAAACAAATTCAATCTGAGTAACATGAACATCCAGAGATCCAGAGATCCTGTAGAGGGCCATCCAATCAATTTTGCAGAGGGTCCAGAACTTGCCCTTTGAGAGATATCCTCCATAATTCTCTGTGAACCCGAGAGAGAAGTTTCTTCACATACAGTCCATGGGACATGTAGGCTTACAGGCCTTAGACGCCATATTGTTAAAAACCAGCAAATCACAGGAGGCACCTGATGAGAAGCAGACTTCCAGTAACAAAGAGATAAGCAAAGGCTAATAAAAGTTCACAGCCTAACTGTCAATCTTGAGGTATAGCAGAGGCAAGCCCTGTATCAGAGAGCACAGCAAGGATGCAAAGGATGGAAAGGAGCCAACGTCATAAGCAATTAGAAGTCAAAGCGGTTACCCAAACAGAAACCAAATACTAAACTGAGACACTTTTCTACCAACGTCTTGGGTCAAGGAACAGAGTCTAAGGAGTGGCCTTGTCAGATTCCGTCCTCCTTAACAGAGTTGTGACCACATACAGATTAAACAGATTCTTACCTCCTAAGGAGAATGCTGACAGACTCAGGAATTTTGAAGCAATGGGAAGCTGGTAGTCATTCCAATTCCCTCCGAGCCAGATGAGAGGTTATGGGGCCCTGGAACAACCCAGGGGATGCCTCCCCTACACCTTTCCCATGGAACTGGGGAGAGCTGGAGCAAGACCACCTTCTGAGATTGGCAACTAATTCTCGCTGGGGCCTCCAAATGTTATAGCCAGATTGCAAGAAGTGATGTCAACACACAGGGAGGGTCAAATTATGAATCCTTTATTGATGCCAGCATCTGAGAGCAGACTAGTGTCTAAAGAACTCTTGGCCCCAAACAAAGTGAGTGGGGAGTATATAAAGGTAGAAGTTACATAAGTTGTACAGTTTGATTAATATTTCTTGGCAAAACATTTGATTGTGAGGGGTACAGATAGCTACAGAATTTGCACACCTGGGGAGTTTCAAGTACCAAGGGCACAGGAATGTGGGTGTGCGATATGATTATGGGAAGGTTACATAAGGGGGTTATTTCTAGGTTAACATGGAAGATCTGTTACAAAATGGAGTTACTTATGTCAAACTAGTTATTACAGGTTATTATAGGATTTTCAGACTAGATATTTCATATTTCATTCATTTCATAGCAAAACACTGATTAACAAGAGAAATGCATATAAAATTCTTTAATATAAGTTATTTGAAAAAAACAGGTCTTGCTAAATTCCCCTCTGTTTTTTTACCATTATAATCTTTTATTCTCCAATCATACTTCTGCATGACTGTTCATAAATATACAGTTTACTCAGGTTTTGTTGTTGTTGTTGTTGTTAGTATGTCCTTTGTTATAAGAGTCTGGTTATAAACCTAATGATGGGTGAGGACAATATATTACTTTTTCTCTCTTATATTAGACAAGTGGTGTTGATCTAATGGTAATAAACTGGGGGGAACTTAGCATGGTATGCTCATTTAGATTCTTCTTGGCATCTTTTGCCTTCAGAGATAAAGATGTTTCTTTCTTCTGGGAAAGAGTTCCTCTTGAATGAATGTCTTATGACCTGCTCTAGGGGAGAAGGGCAAAAGAATGGTGGGACTGACCTTCCTGCATCTGCTGTTTTTCTCAAATGTTAAGATGCTATATTTTGGGAAGCATGTCCTAAACCCTATCACTCTGCTATCCAAAGACTGCATTATAAAACTGGAAGATTAACAAATTTTGTAATCAGTTCTACATTACTACTTTGCACCATATCTACAAAAACACAGTAAAACTTTTGTGGCAGACTGAATAAAGGGGAGAAATTTATTTATTTATTCTTCATTGACCTCTCTTCCATTTTGATACATTTTAAACTGTAAGAACTGCAGAACCTCAGCATACAACAACTCATCCCAAATTTCTGCACTAGAGACTTGACAAACTCTAGCATGGCTTCTAGGAGCTTAAGCTTTTGTCCATAGGATGACTCAGACCTACTTAAAATGCCAGACTGAGGAAGCTCAATAATGCAAGGAGAATTTATTTATTGTTACAGTGAAAGCTTGGTAATAGATAGGCTCCTGAATCCCTCTTAGAGTGGTTACTTTAGAAACCTTGCAATGTTAAATTTTTTTTTTCTGCCCTTGAGAAGTAAATCCACCACACTAAACTTCTCAACAACCTAGGTGTTTATTTGAAAGGAAAACATTCAAGGAGATAACTCTTGCTCTTTCTTGCAGTCAGTGAAATGGGATAAGGGTCAACTTAGCTGGGTATGATTGCTTCAACTTGTACCACCATTTCCTGTAATAAAGATGAGAGAAGTTTGTTTCTTCTCTGGAAAAGTGACAATTAACAAATCCAGATGGGCTAGTTACACTCATGTTTCTTAACACTGTTGACAAAAAAGTCATATTCTGTACAATATTTTAAGAGGTTTATTCTGAGCCAAATATGAGTGACTTAGGCTCATGGCATAGACCCAGGAGGTCCTGAGAACATGTGCCTGAGAAAGTTGAATTACAACTTGGTTTTATACATTTTTAGAGTCAAAGTTACAGGCAAAAACATAAATCAGTACCTGTGAGGTTTACATTGGTTGGACCTGAAAAGGTGGTACATCACTAAGCAAGGGGGCTTAGTGGTCATAAGTAGATTCAAAGATTTTTCTGATTGGCAATTGGTAGAAAGAGTTAAGCACTGTCTAAAATATTTGAAATCAGTGGAGGAAATGGGGGTTAAGTTAAGTTAAGGGGAGTTGTGGAAGCCAAAATTCTTCTTGTATAGATGAACCCTCTGAGTGCAGGCTTCAGAGAGTAAATAGGTGGTATATGTCTTAAAAGGTGCTCTACAGAGATGCAAATTTCCCCAAGAAAAAGCTTTGCAGTGTCACTTCAAAATATTTCAGATAAGCATATTTTGGAATGGAGTATTTGTATTTCCTCTAGGGCTTGCCATTTGTCATGTGATGTTATGAGACCGGCCAGAATTTGGCATCTTATTGCCACAGAGCCTGTTTTGTCAATTTTACAATCTTTATTTTAATGTGAATACTAATCAGTTGTGCCTAAAACTCCACAAAGGGGGGTTATAATGAGATAGGTCTGACCTTTTTTTGTCATGGCCTGGAATTAAGTTCTTCAGATTTTCCTTGGCCTAGAGAGGGTCTGTTCAGTTAGCTGAGGGGCTTAGAATTTTATTTCTGGTTCACAAAACCACTCAGTGTCTTTTTCTTAGTACATTCAACCTTTAAAATATCTTCACTCTTTAGTTTTAGGGAAGTTGAATCTGATACATGTTGGGCCATCTTTCCTAGTGTAATAGTATTACTTAATGAAATCTGTCCTCACCAAATTAATGAGTGTCTGAATTTGTTGATCTTTGAAAACACTCAGATATTTCCTCCATTCTGCTTACTTCAAAGTCTAGTAAATAGATTGGATCCCTCTCTAGTTTCTAGCAAAGATAAATGTTTTCCATACCTTACTGATTTGAAAAATACTATAGGAATTTCAAGAGAGAAAAAATAGAGCATTTAGAATAATATTTGAGAAGCCAGGTACAGTGGCTCATGCCTATAATCCTAGCACTTTGGGAGGCCGAGGTGAGAGGGTTGCCTGAACCCACGGGTCTGAGACCAGACTGGGCAACTTGGTGAGACCTCATCTCTACAATAAATTTAAAAAAAAAATTAGCCAGGCATGGTGGTGCATGCCTGTAGTTCCAACTACTCAGAAGGTTGAGGTGGAAGGATTACCTGAGCCCAGCAAGTCAAGGCTGCTACAGTGGCCGGAAGCGTGCCACTGCCCTCCAGTTTGGATGACAGAGTGAGACTCCAACTCAAAATAATAATAATAATAAAAATAATAATAATATTTGAGTCCCAGAATCCTCCATAAGCTGTGACTTACAATATAAATATGTGGAACAATGAAGGAGGCAGTGTAGCATAACAGAAAAGATCATGAGTTTGACAGCAATAGGAGACTTTGGTCCAATTCCTTGCTCCAGTTCTTAAGATTAGCTTTTTACACCTGACTGAGCAAGGGATTGTATTTTCTATGTTTCATTTGAAAATAAAATAATGATGCCTACCACAAAGACTTGTAAAAATGGAATTGAGTGAGAAAATATGTGCACTGTATAGTACTTAGCTCATAATAATTATTTAGTAAATAATTACTATTTTGTCTTATTAATCCCTGACAATTCCCAGAGACTTGTTTTCTCTCTCTCTGTTGTTGGAATAATGCACCTCCTATGGCGTCCTTCATACACCTATCTATAGGTTTATTCTATAAGGCAATGAGTTTCTTCACAGATATTTCTTCTTGTATCTCAAACTCCTGCAATTGAAAAGGTGGGAATGCAATAGATATTTACTGAATAAATCAATATATGAATATATAACTACAACAAAATGATGGTAAACTGAAGTGACTAAAATTATAATGGTTTACATAGGTCAGGTCAATTAATGATGACAAATTCAGTAGTGAGAGTAATAAAAGCTGTATGAGACTTTACACTATGCATTTTTAAACTAATTTGTCTGAAACAAAGATCTGTCTACTATACTGCCTTTAATTTTCCTGAGTCAGCAGTCTTAGAAACAGGATCTAAAGGTACAAATGGAAAATTACCATAGCATAGCTTTCATTTCCTGCTTTGGAGTATCTAGTTGGACTACTTAAGCTCAATTTGTTTAACCTCAGTAAATGCCCATCCCACATGATTTGACTCATAGATTCTCTTTTGTCCACAGGCAGTTACCTTAGGAGCAGAAAAGAAAGAGCTTTCAAATGCTGTGTCTACTCAAGGACTGTGTAGAATAATGGAATATCGTTCTGATTTAGAAAATATAGATGAAGATGGATATACTCGATTACACTTCAACTCTCAAAACATCACCAGGATACCTGTGATCTCTAATAAAGGTATTATTATTATTATTAATTTCTGCCTTTAGCACTGTCTTTATCCTTAGTGAAGACACTTGAGTTGAGAAAGCCAAAGAGAGGCTTGTGACTAACAGAGCTTTTATTGATATATTTTTAAAGATTTTTAGAAGTCACTGAAAATAATTTGAATGTACCTTAATTCTTTTTTTTCATAAAAACTATTCGGTGACCAATTATTAGTGTTAAAATTAATTATGCCTAGTGGGAGAAAATACAATTTCTCTCCCATAGAAATAGACACTTCATCAATGAGGAGTTGGTAATAAGTGTGATAATATACACAGATGAAGGTTTTTTTTATAGAAGTGAGTTGCTGCTTGTTTGATAGAAAGAGGTAGATCATAGAATGGAGGCCAAGGAAACTTAGAGAAGTGTATATGAGCAACATGCTTTTTGTGATAATAGATTCATTTGTTTTTTAAAAAAGAAAGTCTTGGTATACCAGTGAAGGAAAATATACATGTTAGATGAAAAGATCTCATTAGCAGGACACAAGTTTTAAACATAATGTAAAAGACATGAAACATAAAGAAGGGCATTAAAGGGTCTCTGCTTCATAGTATGAAATAGAGAGTGATTTAGTCTGCTCTGTGATTCTTCTAAGTGACAAGTCTATGAAGTGCTTATTTTCAGTGAAAAGCAGAGATGCATTCTCAGTGTATTGACGTTAATAACAAACCAGTTCCGTGTTATCTTTAAGAGAAAGATTATTCACAGATTGTGAAATCAGGATTTGCTTACTTCTGCTTTCTGGTTATGCACATTGCACAATTATTTTCCCCTCACCACTGATGCAATTCTTTTTTTAAACAACCTGTTAGGGAACAGTGAGAAAACTGGGTGAGGCGAGAAGTAGAGAGGCATGTGTGTGAACATGCAACTCTATTCTATATCAACAAACATATGCTAGTATTTTCTAAACTAGATACTTTTATATGTGCTAGCTCATTTAATTACATCATAATCCTTGAGATATTTTATAAAGTGGAATAAAAAAACAAAGGAAATAATTTGCCCTTGGTCATGAAACAAAAAAAAAGGAAAAATTACTCTTAGTAATCAGTGCTATTTTCCCTCTGTTAAGCTATTTCCTCTGAGAATGAGTGGGATTTCAGGGATACTAGTAGTGTCAAGACCTATCGACTTCAGTATAGAGCTGAAATCAAGAGGGTGCAAATATCAAGGCAATGTGCTAAAATTATAGTTATAGTAGCTAAAGGTGAAGAAAACCCAAAGACAGAGAAAAATCTCAGGCTAATCCTAGATGACTAGGCTATCTAGGCAAAAGTAATTAATAATCCACTTTAGAATTTGCAAGAGTTTTTGATGAAATATAGAATTAAAGTGTTCCATGATGTCATCCTCTTTATCAATTTCTGCTCCCTTGACTCCTCAGGAACCTGTGCTGCGTCTCCTCCTTGGCGTCTCGTTGCTGTGATTTTGGGAGTTCTGTGCTTGATAACACTAGTGATAGCTGTGGTCCTAGGTACCATGGGTAAGCATTGGTAGAGGAGATTAGCAACAATAGATATTTAGTATGCATTTATTATATGCCAGGCATTGTTTTAAGAGCATGACATCATTTAATTTAATTTGTACATTAACTATATTAAGTTGGTGCAATTAATCCCCATCTTACTTATGAAAGGAGACCCTACCAAAAAAAAAACTGATTTGATATAGAAAATTGTGTATATATTCTTACATGTTCAAACTTCAATCATTTTCAAAGTTTCTTCTTCAAGTCGTGAGGCAACCTTCTCAAAACTTCCAGATTAAAATTTTGGAGGAACAAACTTAGAGTGCACAAGGGACCCACCCCCAAAAGATAATTCTTGCTTTCTGGTTTATAAGGGAAGAGAGAGAGTGGAAGGTTATTCTACCTTTCCAGAGTAATAAGCTAGTTAGTGGTGAGACTGTGATATTTGAGTGATCTGTCTTAGAAACTCATACTTCTGACTATATTACTCTACTACCTACATTGAATAACTGGCTTTAAAACTATAGAATTTGAAGAATAAATTAATTAAAGGAAATCTGTGGAATTAAAGCAGAAAATATAATATGTTGCAATCTTCCCAGCAAAATAAATTATCTAAAGGGACTTCCAGCTATTTTTATGAGTTTCATTATTTAAGGAAATTGTTTTATTTCTGATATTTATTATAAACTCCTTTGAATACATCAGAAATTACCTGAGGCACTTACAAAGTACTACATAGATATTTTGGAGTTCGAGGTGGGGGGATTGTCTGAGCCCATGGGTTCGAGAACAGCTTGAGCAACTTGGGGAGACCTTATCTCAACAATAAAAAAAATCATTTTCTTTTTTAAGATTTTATATCTCATGCATTCTATTGTCAATAAAGTAATATTGTGCCTTCAGAGAGTGTTTGATAAGATTCCTTAATTAGTCAAATGTTTATTAGTGCGTTCTATGTTTTAGGAACTGGGCAGGTTATCAAGGAGTTCTCATTTTTAAACAGAAAAAATATGGAAGATTTATTACTATTTCAAATCTGTCACTGATCCAATTTTCTTTGTGCCATTTATTCTCTTACTGCCTCCCTTATTCTATTTCTTCTTCTCTACTTGCTTCCTTTTTCTCTTTTTCACTATACCTTCTTTATGAAAGTTATTTATATTTTTCCATCTATTCTATCTACCTACCAGTCAAGCATTTTTACCTCTTCTTCAGCAATTTATCAAATATTTATTATTAATCAAAAATGCATCCCTTTACATTCCAAGAAAATATGGGCTTGGGGATTTTACCTTGCAAACATAGTAGATTGACTTTTTTTCTGGCACTATTATTGTTGTTCATATATGAATTCAGGCAGCAACCCATTGAAGAATGACTACTTTCCATCAAGAAATAAAGAGAACCACAGTCAAACCACACAGTCATCTTTAGAAGACAGTGTGTCTCCTACCAAGGCTCTCAAAACCACAGGCAAGGGCATAGTTAATAGTTTAACTAAATTTGGAAACAAGAGGGCTAGCTCTTGGTGCTAAGGGCCTGGGGTAGAGGGGTAAAGAGTACCCTTAAATTAAATGATTGCACATGTAAGGCAAGCAATATTATTATCTTAATGCAATGTTTCCCTGTCTGATATACAAAGGGGACATGATAAACACCCCATACTCTTAACTGAATATTGTGTATATATTCTTACATGTTTAAACTTTAATCACTTTCAAAGTTTCTTCTTCAAATCATGAGGCAACCTTCTCAAAACTTCCAGATAAAAATTTTGATTGATGGTTTGATCCAGAGGAAGAAACTTAGAGTGAACTAAGTTGGACTTTGTTTATTTTAAATCAATAACTGTTTTATCACTGGCTATGTGCTTAGACCTATAGGAGGGTGTATGATTTAATGCAAAAGATTAAAAAACAGTGTTCTCTCCCCTTAAGAAATTGACATTCAAAAAGTAATAGCTGGTTGGGCACAGTGGCTCAATCCTGTAATTCCAGCACTTTTGGAGGCCGAGGTGGGGGGATTGCCTGAGCCCGCAGGTTCGAGAACAGCCTGGGAAACTTGGGGAGATCTCATCTTAACATTAAAAAAAAAAAATTATCAGGGCGTGGTAGCACACTCCTATAGTTCTGGCTACTTGGAAGGCTAAAGTGGAAGGATCACCTGGGCCCAGCAGGTCAATGCTGGGATGGCTGTGAGCATGTCACTGCACTCCACCATCCAGCCTGGGAGCCAGAGTGAGACTCCAATTTTAGAAAAAAGTAATAACTAGAATAGAAAATAAAATATGAGAAAGGAAGAATAGCAGGAAAAGGGAAGAAAGGGAAAACGTTACAACATACAAATTAAAAGCTACATTAAAAACATACAAATGAGATTGGCTCTGGTGACTCACGCCTGTAATCCCAGCACTCTGAGAGGCTGAGGAGGGGAGACTACTTGAGCCCAGGAGTTTGACACTAGGCTAGGCAACATAGTAAGACCTCATCTCTACAAAAATAAAAATTAAAAAAACCCTAAAAATTAGCCAGGTGTGATTATAGACACCTGTTATTCCAACTACTCAGGAAGCCGAGGACGGAGGATTGCTTGAGCCCAGGAGTTTGAGACTGCAGTGAGCCGTGATCATGCCACTGCACTCCAGTCTGGGTGACAGAGTGAGGCCCTGACTCAATTATAACAACAAAATATACAAATGAGACACAGCAAATACATATATTCCTGATAACTTTAACAGGTTTAACAAATTTGTCTTTGATCATGCAATTTCATATATTTAATTACAATTTTATATATACTTGACTTTTATTCAAATTGTACCATAATTGACCATGACAATATTTTCGTTAGTTTTTTTGGTTTTTTTTTGAGTTGGAGTCTCACTCTGTCGCTGTGGCCGCTCCCGGCCACCGCAGCCTCGCCTGCTGGGCTCCGGCGATCCTTCCCTCTCAGCCTTCCAAGTAGCTGGAACTACAGGCGCGCGCTACCACGCCCGGCAAATTTTTTGGTTTATTATAGAGATGAGGTCTCGCCAAGTTGCCCAGGCGGGTCTCGAACCCACAGGCTCAGGCAATCCACTCACCTCGGCCTCCCAAGGCGTTGGGATTACAGGCTGAGCCACCGAGCCTGGCCGACTTAATATTTTCACTTCATTTTTTTCATCTGGACCCACACCTCTTAGCTATGTTTATCAATTAGCTAATAATATATAATAGAGATACTCTGTCAACCTTGTCTTGATAATGTCAACCTTAAACTTTTCTCATTTGTAAAGTCACATTCTGATGGATATCACATCATAAAATAAACTAACTAACATAAAATTACTATGTACCTCAGTGACTGATTTTAAGTATCGACTTAAAATTTTAGGCAGCTATGGGGAAAATTAGTTGTGGGCTGAATTTGAAGGAATAGAAGACAAGTCAAGAAGAAAAAGATAGTTGGCTATCTAAAACATTGTTTGCAGTTACTCAGTTCATTTTTTTCCTCTGTGCCACATCTTTGGACATCAATTCATTTTTAAATTTTAAATAAATAGAAAGATTTGGATGTATTCTTTTCTATAAAATCATGTTTATTTTGAATTGAAAGTGAAATATAAATGGCAACTCACGGAGTATTTATTATGTTCTTAAGATGCATGGTGCTTAGACTAAAAGAGTAAACTGGTATACTATGAACGTTATGAGACTTATTATGTTTTATTTCCAGGAGTCCTTAACAGTCCTTGTCCCCCTAATTGGATTATACATGAGAACAGCTGTTATCTATTTAGTACATCACTAGATTCCTGGAATGGAAGTAAAAAAAGATGCTCTCAACTGGACTCTAATCTCCTGAAGATAGACAACTCAAAAGAACTGGTTAAGTGTAGACTTTAATTATAATTATCTGTGTAGTGTGTATTGAGCAAGAAAATAAAAAAGGGAGATTATAGTTAACGATAATTTTTCCTATTAAAAAAACCATTTTTAATATTCTCTATAATTTTAAAAATAACATGCATTGAGCACATATATTACATAGTATATGCTTTTATTTTTAATTAATTAATTAAAAATAGCCACGTTTCACTCTAAAACAAATCCTTTCAAACACATTCTGTGTTTGCATGACTACACTACTCAGATCACTTAATTTTTGTGAGTTTGTATTTCAATTTTTAGATTTGATGGAGTAAAATAGAAAATTCTTCCCCTTGTGTTAATTATCAAGAAAAATAACAGCAATAATAATAGAACTTTATAAATCATTTACTCTTTGCAAGATACTAGGAAAGGCAAAAGATTTAAATGGTAACTTTTCTATTGCAGAGCTCCTATAACTTGTAAAAAAAAGAAACTACCTAACAGCTGCTAAAAGTTAAATATCTGGTATTGGCAACAATTGCTGAAAGAGTTTAAAGATATCCCTGTATACATACAAAGTTTTACAGAAAAAGGGACTTACAAGGCTTCATGAATGAAGGGTAAAACTCAAATGAACTTTGAGAAGAGGTTAACAGGAATATCCTACGTTACAAATATAAACTTAACTGTAACTTCTACATCTACTTTCATTGTTCTCAATTTTTAATTTCTGTACTGTCTTACCAAATAGTTATAATTCATATTAATGTTAATAAGTATATGCAAAGAAAATGCATTAGACTATAGGTCTATCTAGCTTTTAGACCAGTCTATAACTGATATTAAATTGTCCTATATATTTCAATAATTCAAATAACTTTATTGAAACCCACATTATTTATTCATAAAGCAAACAGTAGGATTAAATTATTTTTAAGTTGTTATCCAATTCTAAGAAGCATTTCTTGACAAAAATAGTATTAATTTATATTTCTAATTTGAGAAGATATTGTCCTATCATGCATAAAAATTTCCTTGGGGAGCCTGTTATCCTTGTATTTTGTCAGGTAGGTTGACTGGAGACAGTACAATCCTAACAGTATACATTTATTCTTTACTGGAAAATTAAACGATAATGACTATAAAACATAAAATATTCCTTTTGGGACATGCAATGACATCAAGAATTGGTACTTCTTTCTAGATTGATGTCAGTTTATACATACATCCCTCACCAAATTGACTAAATCAGGTATCTCTTTTGTCAGTGTTTACAGTAAGAGTCAATCTCTGTCTCTCTCTCTCTCTTTCTTCTGATATGCTTGTATTTCTGTTTCACTGCAGGAATTTATACAAAGGAAAGTGTCTTCCCTACCTGATAATTCATTTTGGATGGGGCTTTCTCGCTCTCGAACTGAGGAACCATGGCTCTGGGAGGATGGATCAACATTCTCTTCTAACTTGTAAGTATCTGGAGAGACAAAGCTTCACTCTCTTGTTCAGACAGGTGAAGGCATGTCAAACAGTTAAGAAACAATTTGCTAAACATGCATAAATAAGAAAGAGAGTAAGATACACAGTGGTGTAAGGAAAGAAAGCAAGCTTGGTAAAAAGGAGGAGAAGAAGGTGGAGGAGGAAGCAGAGGAGAAAGAGAAGGAGAAGGAGTACTTTGGAGTTAAATGCAGTTGAGAGACCATCTAGTGCTATCAACACAGGTGTTCTTTTGGCTTTCTTACCAGGACGGCATCTAGCATTTGTTTGAAATTGTCCCGGTAAGGAATGGTCACTGTTATTCAGCATAACTCTGTGATTAAGAGCATGGACTTTGAAGCCAGGCCATGAATGATTAGCCCACTGATACTGGAACATCAGGGATACATCATTTTTCTTCTCTGAATCCCACTTTCCTTATCTATAAATAAGAAAAAAAAAGTGTTTACTTCTTAGACTTGGGAGATAAAGAGTATAAAAGTAAAATCATTTAGCACAGTGTCTTGCCCATAGTTAATGTGTGAGACATATACTATTATCATTAAGTTAAAAAGCAACTACATTTTGCATTTCATTATTATTTTAAACACATTTCGAGTTTTCATAATGATAAGTTGTCTCTTATTGTGTGTTAGTTCTTCCTCACTGCAATTGTCATTCATTTTCTTTTTAATATTGCAGAATATGCTCATAAAGTCCCCTTTCACATTCTCATTATTAGTGTGTGTGCATGTGTTTGTGCATGTGTGTGTGTGTTTCCTTTTCTCCCATCAATTTTGATAGATATATTATTTCAATTTAGTCTTTTCAAAAAAAATTTTGACTTTTTTGATTCCTTCTCTTTTTATTATTTAACTTATTAATTTCCATTCTCATCTTTACTCTTGTATTAGATACCTGCCTCATAAGATTTAATATTTATTTTTCTCAAGTATGTGCATCTAAGGTTATAATTTTGATGTATTTTCATTGTCATTCAGTTCAGAATACTTCCTGATTTCCATTGTGAGTCGTTCCTTGACACATGAATTATTTAATAACATTTTTTTTTTTTTTTTGAGTTAGAGTCTCACTCTTGCCCAGGCTGGAGTGCAGTGGCACGCTCACAGCCACTGCAGCCTTGACCTGCTAGGCTTAGGCGAACCTTCTGCCTCAGTCTCTCATGTAGCTGGAACTACAGATGCCTGCCGCCATACCTAGCAAGTTTTTGTAATTTATTGTAGAGACGGGGTCTCACCAAGTTGCCCAGGCTAAGCTGGTCTCGAATCCTCAGGCTCAGGCAATCCACTCGCTTAGGCCTCCCAAAGTGCTGGGATTACAGACTGAGCCAACGAGTCTGGCCAAAAATGTATTTCTTAACTCATAAACATATGGTTCCTGTTTTAGATTTCAGGCTTTGTTCCACTGTGATCAGAGAACATATTCCACGTATTGTAGTTCTTTGATTTTTGAAAGCTTCTTCTTTCCATATTAAGAGAATTCTATTAAAATCTTGCACTGTGATTCTACTTGTAGTTTTGTAAATATTTTATTTGATGTGTTGAAGCCATGTTGTTAAGCACATAAAGATTTACAATTGTTATGTGTTTCCATTCAACATTACTTTTATTTCTTTCCTTCTTTTCGACTGACTTAATAATGTTTTGTTATTCAATTTTTCTCTTGAGTTAATTTGAAATTTCCTCTTTTGACTGTTTAGTAATTACTTGAGAATTTATAAAATGTAGTCTTCACTAATCAACGTCTAATATTAACTGGCATTTTTATGTTCTTTCTGACCAATACAAAAGTCATAGAGCAATCCTTCATTCTGTTTAATCCCTTCCCAATTTTTATGCTATTATATGTATGTATTTTAATGCTGACACATAGTTTTCCACATTTTAATATCTGTAAATGCAATAAATGTCTTACAATTGATGGGTTTTTATAATCACTGTAGACCTAGACAGGAGTTGACCTCTGTCAAGAAAGATTAGCATTTGTTTCTGTCAATCAAAGAGGGATATCACAAACCTAAGACTACTTTAAATCAAATACTCCACTTGGGTTGTTTTGGAGTACACTGAGATTATTTGTCAGGACATATTTTTCCTCCCACCTTCCATCTGGTGGCAAAATTGAGACATGTACATTTCCTTGTTCTTTTCTGTTTGGCAGTTTTATTTTTCATTCACTACTGCACCAAAATAGCCCCCCCTTTTTTTTTCCAGCTTCTGTAGAATCTTGCATTAAATTTTCTATCTTGGATGGATTGAATTTCAGAGTATTAGATTAAATAAATGGTATACCTTGTAATTAGTGGCCTCTTGGATTCATTAAAAATACAATCCTTGAAAATACTAGGTGTCTATACATTTATGCTGTCAATGTTCACTTAGATTTGCATACATACTTATGACTTTTATTGTTTCTCATTTCTTTCTTTTCCCTCCTGCTTTATATTTCAAGTTGTTTTCGTAAGCCTGAAGAATACTCTAGTATTTTCTATAGAGTATGTCTATTGGTGTATATGTCTTTGCTTAAAATTGACAATTCAAGTTTTCTTGTAAACATTTCTTTTAAAAAATGGGGTACATATACATGATGGAATATTATGCAGCCATAAAAAGGGACAAAATTATGAATTTTGCAGCAACCTTGATGAACTTAGAGTCTATAATACTGAGTGATCTATCACAGGAACAAAGAACTGAGTACCACATGTTCTCACTCATAAGCATACCTTGAACAGTTATCATAATACTCTAAGAAAGGGATTGGTAGTAGTGGGAAACTGCCAGGAGAGGCGGGAGGAGACAGAACTGGTTGTAGTGGGAAACTTCCAGAGGAGAGGGGCACACCTTGTCAATAAGGGTACCTGCATAATGAACATTTGTATACCTAACTCTGAATAAAAAATTTTTTTAAAAAATTTAAATTTCATTAAGTATAAAATTAGAGGTTTGTAGTTTTTCTCCCAGTCATTCAAATAGATTATTCCACTATTTTCTATTTTGTATTGTTGCTTTAAGAGTCATCTGTTTGAAGGTAATATGTATTAAATCTAACATCTTCTTCAGTTTTGGAAAATTCTCTGTCATACCTGCTTCAAATTTTGCTTTCTCCTCATCTTTCTTCTTTTCCTCTGGGATCCCAGTTACATTTATTACAGGCCCATTTACAACATCCCATATGTTGTTGGTTTTTTTCTTTTTCCTGTATTTTATCCTTTTTTTTTTGTTTTAATCTATATATTTTCTTTCTACTTTCAGTTCAATCTCTTTTTTTCTCATTGGTGGTTAATCTGCTGTTAAAAACCTCTATTACATTTTTAGAGTTTTGGGGGGTCAAATTTTCATTTCTATAATTTTTAACTTGGTCTTTCTCAAATCTATCCTATCAACACTTATAATTCCAATTTTTCTTTGAACATTTTCAGTATTTTTTTAACTCTCAGAATATACTAATCATAGTTGTTTTAACATCTGTGTCGGATAATTTCAATATCCTTTACTCATATGTATCTGTTTTTATTATGTTTTCTCCTGTTTTTCATTTGTGATTATTTGTTTTCCTGTGTGTATAATTATATTTGATAGTGCTTAACACTGTATCTTAAAAGGTTTATAGGATTTATTTGAAGTGGTTTTTATTTGCTTCTGACAGGCATCATTGGGTGTGAACAGTACAAACTGCTGAACATAATCACACTTTGATTTTAGCACCACTGAACTGTTTTACTTCTACTAGCTCAAAGTGAATTAATTAATCAACAATCTACAAAATTTATTTTCTATGATGCTTGTTACTCTTGACTTTTTGTTTTTGCTATTTTAAACATATGACTAGAGGAGTCTTTCTATGATTGCAAGCATGGGCCCAAGTTAACATTTTGATATGTTACTAAACCTCTTGGTTTTCTGGGTGGCATCAACTTCACCTAGCTATGCTCACACCTAAAAAAGACTTGTATGTCAAAGAAAAAACTTAGAGAATTGTGCTGTTTGAAGTTCTCCCTAAGGTCTGGATCAAAATATTTCATCTTAAGTTAGTCATCTCTAGAGCAGAATTCTCTCAATTCTCCAACCTCAAGGTCAAGTAGAAGAGATAGATACCCAAGATAAAGAGTAACAGATCATAGCTTTCACACTAAGACTCAGTGGATATTTTTTGAGCTTGACTAATTAACACTGCTTCTTCAGGAAATTGAAGAGCAGATGGAACAGGACTTTATTTATCCATGTTTCATTTATCCATGGTGATGATCATAACTGTCAAGAAATGTATTATAATATAATCCTGCCTTCAGGACACATTAAAATATATAGGATTGCTTTCTTTGCCTTTAAATGGTCTTCACACCTATGATTTCTTATTTAGTTCTAGATCCCTATCAACATTAATTTGTCTGCTTGATCTATTCGCTAGATATACCCAATATTAATTTCACTAAACTGTTGCTTGATTTGGTAAATAACGATCTAGGTAACAGTAAATAAATAAGTTTTTATAGAATATTAGTTTTTCTTCCTTGCCAGGAACTTTATTTATGCAACTAGTTATATTTTTTTAAAAAAACAAAAAAGAGTTATTTTTCTGCCTTAATAATGAAGACTATTATTTTACCCTTTAACAATCAATACAATCTAAATTCAATGTTCCTTTTCTAATATTGTAAACACTTCAGAACTCTTTCCACCAATGTCCTTACCAATTTATTTGAACTGCATGTACACAATATTCCTTATGTTTGTTCTAACCACCTCATTGTATTCTGTTTTGATAGGTTTCAAATCAGAAGCACAGCGACCCAGGAAAACTTGTCTCCCAATTGCGTGTGGATTCACGCATCAATCATTTATGACCAACTTTGTAGTGTGCCTTCATACAGTATTTGTGAGAAGAAGCTTTCAGTGTAAGGGGGAGAGTGAAAGAGGAGAGCAAAGTATGTGAAATAGTAAGGAGGACAGACAACAGAACATTAAATAATGATATTTGAGGTAAAAATAAATGTTGAAAATGTTCGGAGAGCTCAGCAAACTTTAATATTTGCTGAGTAATAACTTGGAGAGGATGTGATTTCTGTACTTGTCAATTCTAAAAGTAGTCCAGTATTATGTTCTAATTATACAGCTTTAGACACGGAATCAGGCAACTAAACTTGAATTTTCAATCTGCTTTGATTTGATATTTACCTGGGATAAGCTACAAGTCCAAAGTGTTTCAATTGAATTTCTGACTCTACGAAAGTTGTTTTTGTTCTTAAAAAAGTGCCACTAGAGTATACACTGTTTCCATGACTTTTTTCTCAACTTCTAGCATGACTAAAGGGAAATATATATTTCCAAATAGCTAAATGAAGAGAAATATTTACTACAATCAGTTATTATATTATTTTCATTAATATGATTGTAGTTATGATTATTATCATCAAAAAGCAGCAACTGAAACTTTTTCTTTGTCAATCATATAACCCAGAGAGTATGCCTGCCACATCTATGACTAAGAGAATTCTGGATAGTATGTAATTGTAGGGACCAGACGCCATGGCTCACACTTATAACCCCAGTGATTTAGGAGACTGAGGTGGGAAGATCAATTGAGGCCAGGAGTTTGAGACTGTTGTGGACTATGATTGCACCACTGCACTCCTGTCTAGGTGAAAGAGTGAGATCTTATCTCTTAAAAAATTAAAAACAAATACCATCAATCAAAAAATAAATAAAATTTGATAATAAATATAAAAAATACTGGTAGAAGTATTAACACTTTGAAATGCAAAACATATTTTATTATTTTTATGATGTACTGTTTTGAGGTTTTCAGCCATTTGTTAGCGTTTACTGTAGAGACATATTGTAGGAATGTAGGTATGTTTCCTCATGTGATGATTTGTCTTATTTTCTTTCAAACTTTTCCACTGGTGCTATTGTTATTTTCAATAGAGAGTTCTATATTACTAGAGAGACATTATAACCCTCTCATGTTGATTTATATGTGAACAGAAATTTTACCAGGCTTACTGAATTCTTCTTTTTAAAATGGTTAAATTTTGTATTATATGAATTTTGCTTCAATTAAAAAAATGCTTATAAAAGAAACTTTGGCCTCTAAATTATGTGTCTGTGTGTATTAATCGCTATCACAATATTCTCTCTCACCAAAAGTGATGATGAATTTGGTACTAAGTAGGTAGTATTATGGTAAATATTTCTGTATTGAAACATAAACGTGGAATCTTAAAACTTGTAAAAATCTAAGAGACGAAGATGGAAATTTTTGTGAAGCTTATCTTTCTAAAAAACAATATGCAAACTTGTGCTGTCACTATCTGAAAAGAAATACAGAAAGGGAAGAGAGCATTCAGAATGAGAGTATAAAAACTATAATTAACTGGTTGAAGTAGTTAATTAAGGCAAAAGATGGAGTTTTGAAGAAATGCCAAGTATTTTAATTTTGTTTTTGGTTTGGTTGATTGCTACTGGGTCCCCGGGATGGAGTAGATGAATCCAGTAAATTGTAAGCAAGAAAAATAATTCTGACTACTGAAGATCAAGCTGTACTAACCTAGAGCATACAGGCCAGGCGACAATAACTCATGACTGAAAGCTAAAGGCATAGATGTGACAGATGCGTGTAAAGTAAGATCCATCTATGTTGTTCAAGGTGTCCTATACCAGACCTGTTGACATACAGTTATACAACAACTTACACACTTTTCCAAGAGACAGAAAAGGGGAAATAGCTGCCAGTCGAACGTAAGTCTAAGGGGTGAATTCAAGATGACTAATGGTCATGCTAGAGGTAATGCTTATCTGCTGAAGGATCGCCATGCTCACCTGTCTGGGTTATAGCAATAGCTTTCCAAGTGGCTCCTAGCCTTCACTCTTGTCCTTTACAGTCCATTTTCAAACAAAACAGAGTGAGTTTATTAAATATAAGTCAGATCATTTCAGTTCATTACTTAAACTCTCAACTCTCATAAATCTCAGAGTAAAAACAAAACAAAACAAAAAATGAAATGAAATTTCTTTATAAGTATCTATGAGACCCTACATGCTCTAGCCATCTTTACTTCTTTGGGCTTATCTACTTCTCTCCTCTTCGCTCAGTTCACTCAGGATGTTGGCTTCTCTGTTAGTTCTCAGGATATCAGGCATGCTTCTGCCTCAGGGACTTACTGGCATATTGGCAAGGCCTGGTCTGTAACCTCTTTCAAGTCTGTTCAAATATCACCTTCTTCATGAGACTTACTCTGATTATCCTAATTAAAACCACAACTCCTCCTTTCCCTGCATTCTTAAACTCTCTTATCCTCTCTTACCCTCCTTTTTTGAGTTGGAGTCTCACTTATTCTCCCAGACTGGAGTGCAATGGCACAATCACAGTTCACCACATTCACCACAGCCTCAAAGTCCTAGGCTCAGGTGATCCTTCTGCCTCAGCTTCCTGAGTAACTGGACCCACAGGTGCATATCACCATGCCCAGCTAATTTTATTGTTTTGTAGAGACAAGGTCTTGCTATGTTGTCTAGGCTGGTCTCAAACTCCTAGACTCAAGCTATCCTCTTCAGTCTCCCAAAGTGCTGGGACTATAGGCATCAGTCACCATACATGGCTAAAAAATATTTTTGATACTGTTTAAAAAATAAGCACTTAAGGAAAAGTAGTGCAAATTTTTTAGGTTGTTTGTCAAAAAATTATCAAGTATGTACTTGAATCACTAAAGCTTAGAAAATAGTTTTTTTTGCTAAGGATTATTTTGGCTATTTGTGGTCATTTATGTTTCCATATGAATTTTTGTACTGTCATTTCCAGGTCTGAGAAGAAGGATGTTGGTAACTTAATGGGCATTGCACTGAATCTGTAGATTGTCTTTGGTAGGATGGACATTTTAACAATGTTGACTCTTCCTATCCATGAGCATGGAATATTTTTCCATTTCTTTGTGTCTTCTTAGATTTCCTTGAGCAGTGTTTTGTAGTTTTCATTGTAAAGTGTAAAGATTTTTCACTTCTCTGGTTAGGAAGATTCCAAGGTATTTCTTTCTTTTCTTTTCTTTCTTTCTTTCTTTTTTTTTTTTTGGTGGCTATTGTGAATGGGATTGTGCTTTTAGTTTAGGTCTCTGCCTGCTTGTTGTTGGTGTATAGGAATGCAACTGTCTTTTGCACATTTATTTGTACCCTTCCAGACTTCCAACTTTACTATAAGACTACAGTAATCAAATCAGCCTGGTATTGGTATAAGAACAGGCATATAGAACAGGAACAGGATAAAGATTCCAGAAGCAAAGCCTCAATTTCTCAACCAAATCATCTTTGACAATTCCTCCAACAACAACCACTGGGGAGAGGAGAGCCTATTAAGTAAACGGTGCTGGGAAAACTGGCAGATCACATGCAGAAGATTGACACAGGACCCCTACCTATCACCATACACAAAAATTAACTCTAAATGGAGCAAAGACCCAAATGTAAAACCTCCAACTATAAGAATCTTAGAAAACGCAGGAGACATCCTTATGGAAATTGGAACTGGCAGCCAATTACTGATCAGAATCCTAAGTGCCCATACCATAAGAAATAAGATGGACAAGTGGACAAGATGGACAAACTGACGAGCTTCTGCAAAGCAAAAGAAACCATCAAGAGAGCAGGGAGACAACCCACAGAATGGGAAAAGACTTTTAGCAACTGTATATCTGACAAAGGCCTAACATCTAGACTCTGCAAGGGACTCAAACGTGCCAAAGGAAAAAACCAAACAGTCCCATTCAAAAGTGGGCAAAAGACATGGATAGACATGTCTCAAAAGAAGATATATGGGCAGCCAACATACACATGAAAAAGTGCTCAGCCTCACTCATCATCAGAGAAATGTAAGTTGAAACCACATTTAAATACCACCCAGCCCCAGTAAGAATGGCCATCATTAATAAAACAAACAATAACAGATGCTAGCGAGAATGCAGAGAAAAAGGAACACTTATACACTGCTGGCAGGAATGCAAACTAGTGCAACCACTTTGGAAGTCAGTGTGACAGTTTCTGAAAGAACTAGAAGTTGACCTTCCATATGACCTAGCAATTCCCCTGTTGGGAATATACCCAGAGGAACTCAAATCATTCTACCAAAAAGATACCTGCACATGTATGTTTGTTGCAGCTCTATTCACAATAGCAAAAATATGGAACTAACCATGCTGCCCATCGAAGCTGGCCTGGATAAAAAAATGTGGTACATATACACAGTGGAACATTTTGCAGCCATAAAGAAGGACAAACATATGGACTTTGCAGCAACTTGGATGGATTTAGAGTTGATCATTCTCAGTGATCTATCACAGAAACAAAGAACAGAGTACCATATGTTCTCACTCATAAGTGAATCTTGAACAATTATAATAGTATGAGAAAGGGATTGGCAGTAGTGGGAAACTGTCAGGGAGGAGGGGTGGGGTTGGCTGTTGAGAGAAACTGCTAGGGGAGGGAGGGGAACACCTTATCATCAAGGGTACCTGCATAATCAACGTTTGTATACCTAACCCTGAATTGTACCACACATCTTTATAATAAAAAAAGAAAATAGTCCTAATTGCCATTTAATTAGAATCATAGTTATTATGTGTATTATTTTTTCTACCCCAACTATTGCAATCTTTAATATTTTATTTTTGTGTTTTGCTGTCATATGTGCTATGTATGCCTTCATCTTCAAAATTTTTACTGCCTTCTCTTCTATATTGCTCTCTAATGTTTAATCCTATGCACAAATACTATTTGATTTCTTATTTTTATTTATTTATTTATTTATTTATTT